TCTAGGTGATAATATACAAAAAAAGATGAAGCATGCTATAGAAAAGGGAAAAAAATGAGCAACAAATGATTCATCATCGAGAAGAAGCGAATAAGCGAGGATGACATCCATTTCTAGATTGGTTCTTGTGAAATCACCCGATCATCCATCGGTAGACAATTGAAGCTGGTTGGTTGATTGTTGTTTGTTGTTGTCCATACCCTACATACGCGCACACGACATGGCCCTCCATGGTTGTACATCTTCAAATCATTCAATTGAGTTTCCATGATTTGAATGAAGGTTCGGCAAGGAAAGAAAAAGCCAAAAATGTTAAAAGCATTTAATGATCGATAAAGCGACCAAATAAAGCAAGGTATAATCCGAAAATTGAAAACGACCAAAGAGTCGATCAAGTCATATGATGGGGGAGCAAACATGAATATGTGCTTTAATGATTCAAAGAAAGAAAAAATTTAAATCGTATAATAAATGATGAAATACTTTTAGGTAAAGCATTCAAAACATCTTTATAAACAATATTCTTGACGTAGCCATGTTGAGTATCGGTATCACCAACTCGTGATTATTTTGAGACCATTTTTAGAAGTGACTCTAGAAACGAGCAACATAGAGTCGCCCATGTGTGAAGACTTGGTTAATCAAGAAAACTCCAACCTTTTTTAGAGATTGTCCTTGACTTTTGTTAACGATCATCGCATAACATGGTCTAATGGGAAGCTGGTGGCGTCCGAGAGTGAATGGCCATTTAGTTTCGTGGATCGAGAAAACAATTCTCGGTATGAAAACTCGAGCACCTATATTATTGCCGGTTATAATTCGTGCTTCAATGACTCAATTCGAAAGTTGCGTGATTATAAGCCTTGTTCAATTGCATAAACCACATGATTGATTGATGTTTTGCAACAAGCATGATGGGTGTGCCAATTTTCAAGGAAAGATTGTGTGAAGGCACTCCATTAAACTCAAGTTGGTTTATGAATTCAATGGGATATAAAAGGTCAAGATTTTCGGAATCCGATGCGAGCTACAAATGGAATCGATGCTTAAATATGTCCGTTTTTCACCGGGAATATGATCGAGGACATAATCATTAATGTCTCGAACAACATTATTTTTAGGTATGATTATAGCCCTTTCCCTAAAATAATCATCCGACATTGTGCATTGCCCGAGTTCGGGTAGATTGCAGAGACAATGCAATCAATTGGTTCCCTAATAATTGGAATAAGGAATTCATGCGGTATTTTAATGAATGAAACATCATCATCATCGGAATTAGGAAGGTCGAAATCCCGCCTTCGCCAATTTTAAGAATCCAATCAGCGAAATTTTTTAATGCAAACCTTTCCTCATCATTGAGGCCTTCATCCGATAGTCACATGTTCTTTTTCAAAGTAAAGACCTTGAATTTTGACCAAAGAAATGAACTACCGAGAGAAGCACGAACAATTTCTTCCCTTATCCCTCCGGGAATAATAGGCAGGATTTGTCGAAAATCTCCACCAAGAAAAATAGTTTTTCCTCCAAACGAGATGATCTTGTATGTTATCATCCGATTCAATAAGAACATCGCCTAGAGTTCTATCAAGAGCTTCGAAGCAACTTCGATTATTCATTGGAGCCTTATCCCAAACAATAAGCGATGTTTTTTTAAGCAAGCTAGATAAATGAGTGTTTTTCTTAATGTTGCATGTCCCATTTTCATCAAGACTAAAAGGAATCTTGAATCTAGAATGAGCAATTCTACCTCCGGGGAGCAACAACGATGCAATATCGGAAGATGCAACAAGCAAGAACAATGAAACTTTCAAAACGTATTTTGTTGATTATAGTATGTCAAAGGAATGTTTTACCGGTGCCTCCATGGGCATGAACAAAGAACGAGACCACCTTTTTTATTAATAATCGAATCAATTATTGAAGCATAAATCTCTTGCTCGTTCGGCGTTCAATTTTGCAATCGATGACCAATGTTGTTTTCCGAGATCATCAATATCATAATCAAGCTCTTCTCTTAAGAGCTTGTTTTTAATTTCGGACATGAGTGTTTCATCGAGCATCGGAAGATTGTGCTCTACTAAAGAGGTGGATGTTGTATTGAACAAAATCTCAAGCTCCTACAAAATATATTTTGTAATTCGAATATGATATATGAAGATTTGGCAATGCAAACGCACTTTTAAGCTTCGAGAGGATGTCGTCATACATGTATAACTAGTTTACGTAAAAGAACCGTTTAGGATCGACTAGACCACAAAACAAAACCATGCCGACAAATAGTCGTCTTAATTGGAAAGAGGAAGTTGTTACCATTGCCTCATCAAAAGCCTCATTCCACTCTCTATCATCACCCAAAAGACCAAGTGCATCACAAGCGACTTGGAAAGTTGGATGAACAATTCCATAAATTGTCTTTATACTATCAAAGTTTACGGGGCCTTTCACATGATTCAATAAAATCCGTAGAAAATAAAGTTCACCGACGACGGGATGAACATAAGCAATTTTACCAACACTCCGACCTCGAGACCTTGGAGACAATTCCTTATTTGTAGCATCCCATACATAAGCGGACGGAATCTGCGAGTAATAAAGCAAGCGAGCAACGGGGTTAGTTTTATTAATGTTAAACCACTCGTTAACATAGTTTTGTCAATTCCGAGGCTTATTGATGACCGAGGATAAACGATCATCTTCGGAGAAAACAACAAATTGTTGTTGTGGTAAATGAACCGATAACCGTTCAATTGAAAGGTCCCTAAAGTGGATAAGAAATTGGAAAATACGCCATACAGACCTCATATGGATAGATAAAACAACAATTTAGGTAGGCTTGTATTTCATTGGCATTCTCCTTTTCAACAACCAACCTAGCCCTATCCGTGCCCTTGCTAACATATTTGAATAGATATTTTATAAGCATTGATCGACAAGAAATCTCAATATTAATATGAGCTTTGTATCTAAGAAGCAATTCTCTATTATAAGGAACAACAAAGTCATTGCCGAACGTCATCCCATTCTTTATAACAAAGCGCGATAGATCATCTCGAGGTTTGTAAGAAACAAAGCCATTATCATCGAAAACGGTGAAGATCCGAAATTTTTTTGGAAAGCATTTTGAACATCTACCAAGTTTCATGCAAGGAGCATTTGGATTGACAATGCCACATGGACCATGTATCATAAACTGTGACGAGTATTTCATAGCAATTGGGATCTTGATCTTTATCGGGTATTTTAGCGAGACACGATAGAGTCAACATTTTCACCGAACGGCACTTTAATTTTGGACCAAGCCATATCAAGAGATGGCTATGAGGAAGCCCTCGTTTTTGAAACTCAATAGCACAAACATCTAATAGGGAAAAGATTAAATGTTTATAAAAGAGTTTTAGGAGAAAACCTAATCATCGAAATAGAAAAAAGGAATTGAAATGTTACATCGATTCGTACCAGCTATTGTTTGACCAAATGGTCTACCGGATTTAATAAATGAGATCATATCATCAAGCTTGGTTTTGAACACTCGAGTTATGATATCCGGTCTATCCTTCGGTTTGTAATGTTTATTTTTTCTAAGCTCTCTTCTGATTTCAAGCCATCCAACATTACATGTGAAGGTTATAAAGAGATTTGGATTACCATAAGCTCTACGAATAGCCATAGAATCTTGATAATTATTGATCATGTATCTAACACTTCTAGTAAAAGAGGAAGGCATCAAAATTCTTCCAATATCGAAGCATTAGTGTCACCTCGCAAAACGAGCATCTTGAATCCCTTTATACTCGTTCACTTCTTAGATTTTTTTGGTTTGCTCTAGTGTAATCAAGGCGATCTTCTTCAATAGTCACAAAAGCCTCGACCAAAAACTGCTGAAAAAGTCGACCACCTTTTAGCAAAGTAGCATCCTCGTCAATTCTTTCATGCGGATAGTATGCATAGTAGGCTCTCATTGGAACACGCTGTCTTTTCGAAGCCGAGCCACGAAAATCGCTATTCCATTTTAAGTTAATACGATAACCATCCTTACCGAAAGGGAAAAGAAGGGGATATTGTAGAGACATGTATTTAGGATGCAATTTAGAAATTCTTTGAAGCAAACCAGATTTGTTTTCAACTAAAATATCTCTTTCAAAAAATAATTCACCTATATCTCCAACAACCAATCCTCCAATATCATTAGATGTTGGTAAATCAAATTGACATTCATCACAATGTCTCCTTCCAAGCGGACGCAATCTATAACTAACATCACTCTGGTTTGATATTCTTTGTTTCGCCATTCGAAATAGTTTCACCAATGAATTAGTTGAATCAAATAGCTCGATCAAGTTTTTGACAACATCTCCATCAAGAGTTCGGTTATTGAAAGAAACAACAAGTGCATTCAATCGATTGCTCACCTCGTTTTGTATGTCATATATATAAAGCCGAGCAAACTTCGAAGCCTCACCATCGATAGGCAAAAGAGAGCCCATTAAATGGTGAACTTGCCCACTAATTTTGAAAACATAAGGTCCAAGTCGATTATTAACGGAGGTATCAAGTTTTGTACCCATTGATATGAAAGCAAACATTGAGTTGTAAGACTCGATGTTCTCTCTAAATTTATTTGACGAAGAACCTTCGTTTAATCAAGCATTCTATCAAGTATGTGAGGAGTGGGTTGGGGGGCGCTAAATTTTATTTTCCCACCAAGGCAACATAGTGAGAATTTTGGCCTAGACATCGCGGATGATTTAAGGCGTTCTTTCAACCAAAAAGAGCATGACAATGTTCGCATTGATGTGTTTTATCATCAAAATCAACATATTCATCATCGCGTCCTAATGAACGAGGTTAAAAGCAAATTCAATATAAGAAAAAAGAATCGAGAATAAACATTTTCAATCGGATGAAGTTTCATGGAATGATGGAAAACTCACTTTTTATTTTTCTTTGGTAAGATATTCGGGTAGGAACACAAAAAGAGTTTGTGGCGGCAGATAAATTTACGGGAGGAAGACCAAGGTATTCGGAGGCATCGGGTGGCTCAAACGACGATTGCAAAGCTTCGTCGGCTTCGAAGAAATAGGCGGGATCGGTTGAGAACCACCAACAACCAATCTTTCAAAGTCAAGATTTATAAAATTTTGATGAGGCAAGATGGAATATAATTGACGTTCAACAGGAAGCATGTCATTAATGCGAGACGGTGATGCATTGGGGGAAGGTGTGCATTCAAAATCAAATACAATTGCATCAAGTTGAGTGGTATGACGATGACTTGTTTCGAACCTATGGCCTAACACATCAACGGGAAGGTCAAAGCCCGGGCTTTGATATATAGAGGATGCATTCTGGTTTGAATTGAATAATGTGTCGTCGAGAGATCGAATAATCACGGTTGGATGTGTCTTGACCGGAAGAAGAAGGTGTCGTATCGAAGCAAGCAAGGCATCAAGCGGGAGGCTAATTTCTACATATTGATCAATCGAAAACATATGATCTATAGTAGAAGAGCGAGATCCGCCTCGTCTACGACGGTTTGATCGCCTATAAGAAGACGATGCGGACATCGCAACAACTCGAACCAAAATGTAATGAAAGGATAAATGGTCAATAAAGGATCAATCGTAAAAGACTATCCTAATGTCGTTTAGAAAAGAAAAAAATGCAAGGCAAAAATACTGAAAAATGAACAAATAATAATAGATGTCAAACGTCATATATTTGTCATTCATTATTTCTAAACGAAGAGGATAAAAAAGGCAAGGAACATTGTTTTCCTCCCTCCGAACCCCGCCAAAAGAATCATACGAGTTAATAAGGAAGAGTAAGGAAAAACCAAACCTATTTTTTTCTTAAGAGATAATATATCTTTATAAATGAAGGCTTATTTCCATTTGGTGTTTTACTATATCCCAAGGAATTCTATTCTTAATTCTATAGGCTATGCTTCTAACAAAACTGTTTGTTTATGTTTGATAGAGGAAAGGAAAAAATTAACAAACGTGATTAACAAATGATAACTCCAACAATACCGAATGGTAATTCAACATGCATCGTTTTAATAAGTTTTTTAATTTTTGAACAATTGTACAACCCTATTGATTAGATATATGAAGGGCTTTTTTTAACATAAAAAATACAGAATTTTTTTAATCGGGTGCATACTTATAAGAACCTAAATCCAAGATTTTTTCGGTTGACATACATGATGTGCTCTGCATTTACTTACGAAGCATTTCAATGGCAATGTGTTGCTTTTTTGTATCTTAGAACATAATATTACTAAAAATATTATTTTGAAGTAAATGTGGGTGTTTTTCATTTATTCAAGCACATGTATTTCCTAAAACATTTAATTTCGGTATTGTTTTTTTCTTTTTTTAACGGACTATATTGTCAACGACTTATAAAAATACATCAATTAAGGCTTATCGCAATGCTTTGCTGCGCATGAATGCTTTATTCAATCACAATGGTTTATTATAATAGTCCTCATTAAGTATATAATGGAAAAATGGCAAAACTATAGATCTGTCATAATTATCTAGCTTGATAGTGTAAAAGAAAAAGCGAGCATTAGTAATGGCCTGACGAGTGTATAATAAAAAGTCGCATCGGTAATGTTTCATCAAGGTATAGGGGAAAAATGGAAAATGTCATAGCCAAAGGAAAAATCAATAATAAAACAACCAATCAAAACCTATGCAGTGTCTTTCGCAGTCAAGATTTGGGGAAAAAATTTTCTTTCTCTCGCTTGATGATGTATATTGTTAAAAATATTCAATATTCATATGAATTCCTTTTTTATATATATATGACGATCGATTTTTAGAAAAGACATTGTTTTCATGAGAAAAAGGTTTTTTTTTTTTTTTTTTGAAAAAAAATCTAAGATGTTTCATCGAGCTCTATCAAAGAGTTTTAGTACAATACTTATAGATCATTAAGCGAGATATAGTTTTTTTTAGAAGAACGAGTTCTCCATGTTGTTCATTTCTATGTTAGCTCTGCGACCTAAATTTGGTTAACCTAGCCAAGTATAAAGTGTATAAGAAAACCAGCAGAAAGAATGCTTGGCAAAGGCACAATCAAATGTTGAGTCGACTAATTTAGTTTTGTTAGAATGTTTTTCTCAACTATTGATGCTCTCACTCAAAGGTTGCATACATTTTGTTATCTATCAATGGAGCAAAAAACAAAAAACCATACAACGGAATGTGGCAAATTCCACTCAATGAATGGTGAGGAAAAGGATCCAAAAAGATAAAAGTACAACCAGGCAAAAAATAACACATGACATAGCAAGAAACCATTCTCAAGCATAACTGATTCGATAAAGAAAAAATGCCGCAACAAAATCAAAGGGAGGGGAGGCGATGAAGAAAGCTCACTCGTTAGTTTTAATGAAGAAAGGAAAACCTTCAAAGCACTGGAAACTGGAGCCGTGCAACAAAGAAACAAAACCGATCTTGTTGGATGAAAATGGGAAAAAAGAAGAATGGAAAAGCTTTTAAAGCAAGGGCAAAAAAATAACTATAGGTTTTCAAAAAAAGAAAGAGAGTTTGATCGGCTTCAAAAGACATAAGCTAAAAAAAATTGAGTGAGCAACGAAGCTTCATAGATGGGAAAAGAGTGCTAGAACCCCCTTTTTTTTTTTTTTGGTTTTACATAACATGATACGAGAGATGAAAAGACCGAATCTGTTTAAAAAAAAAAGAAGAGTAATAATAGCTTAATCATAGTTATAGGAAATTCTCGCTACGGAATGGAAAATTTTCTTGCTTGGCAACAAATAAGGTCATTAAAACATTGAACCAGCACACTGTTATCAATGCTAGGCAACGAACAGCATCTATAATCCAAGAAGGAAACAGGGAAAGCAACACACAACAACCAAACATGAAAAAAAAAATTGGAAAAAAAGTCCATTCTCCTATATCTACATCGATGACTTAAACGAAATGGTGGAAGTGAATGAATAACAAAAAAGGTCAATCAAGGGAAAGAATCCAATAAGTTAGTTCATGTGGACCGTTAAATGGTACGTCAAATGCTACGAAACAGGGTAGAGGCCTATCATCAAAAAGAGGCAGACGAGTAAAATAAAGTGGAAAAGTGCATCACATAAGCATAAGTGCCATCCATGAAGAGAAAAAATGGGAGGCGAAAAACTATAATAAGAAAAGGAACAAAGAAGCAAAAACCTACTAGTTTCGATGAAGAAAAGAACAACTTCCAAGCGAGGACAAATGAAGCTGCATAATCCAAAAACACCGAGGAGCTTGTTAGTTCGAAGGGCAACAACAATAGTCGATCGAAAACAGCAAGATCAATGACAATAACAAAAAAAAATCAAATGAGGAGCAAACGGACCAAAGTTTTTACACGGCACGAAAAAAATAAAATCAAATATCATAAGATATGCTTGGCAAAAGTCCATAAAGAAAAAGAAGATAAAAGGAAAAATTCAACTAGAAAATCATATAGCAAACGCTCAAAAGGAAATTGAACCAAAAACAAATTAAAAAGAATCTATGTTCATCGACGTGAGAAACTAACAATCATAAGCGAAGAAAGAATAAACCAATAAGGGCATCACAAAAAGTGGTTCTCATAGAAGGGCAACAAATGTCAAAATAAAACAAAGTGACATTAAAACAATTCAATATAAACATAATGGTTAACAATCGGTTCCACGGAATAGAGAATATTTGCTAAAAAGGTCTTAAAAAAAAAAAAAGAACTTGTGACCATGAGTCCCATATTCGGGATTGGCAATCTTTTTTTTCATTGGTAATAATGACCAAGCGTCAAATTTTTAAAAAACCAACGAGTTCAATTCATGTAACAGCAAGGAAAAGGTTCATGCCCATAAACAAATAACATGGGTATCAACTTCTAAGTTGCAGCTATTATAAGCGGGAGTCCAAATTTTTCAAGCATATCAACCGAATTTAAGATAAAAGACAAAAATAGTTGGTTTATATATATGTACATTCCGAAAGAAGCTATCTTGATAACTCGCTCGAGATAAGGATGTGCAAGTAATCAAGCTTTTAATTTAAAAGAATACCTAACCAATCGACAGAGATCAACAGATAAAAAGATTTGAATAATTTGAAAGATTTTTAAATCAACATCTGTAAAAAGGACGATGAAAACAATGAAGTTAAATGAATAACATAGGAAAAAAGCATTATATTCAAGGATCGATTCAAGGGAAAAAACCATCTCCCAAAAAGCAACAAAAGGAACAAAAAACTAACCAAGGAAATTAACCGAGTCGGGCTTGATCAAAGAAGGAAAACCCCAAGGCATTGTAACTTGGAACTACACAAATAAAAAACGGAAAGAAGCAATTAGTCAAAGCCGAAGGAGCGGATGGGGGAAAAAAAAACAAAAGCAGAGCGAAGGAGCATGGATCACAAACAATTCTTAACCGAAGCATCGGAAAAATTGCTAAACAATGGAAACGACAAATCATGAGCCAAACTCACGTGAACATAAACACAAATTTATCCGATGTTCAATGTTTGACATTTTGAGAAATGTCGGATCATTATATATATATGCAATGTAGCTATCTTGAGAATTTTTCCGGATCGGTAGTCGAACATAACCGAATGCCTAACTAATCAAAAGAGATGAAGACATCAAAAGTCGTGAAATCATTGAATGATCATGAAAGCAACATGTCTAAAAAAAAAGACAAAAGGAGGCAAAGTATGAGCAAGCAACATAGGAAAAAAAGCATCATAACGAACGACTAATATGAGGCAAAAATCATCTTCCAAAAGCTTCAGAGAAAGTTAAAACAAACCAATAAAATTCACTTGTCATGGTTTGTGAAAGAAGCAAAGCCTCCGGAACCGCAACTTGGAATTGTAGAAACAAAAAAACCAAAACCAGTAATTAGATAAAGAGGAAGCTGCAAAGGCAAGAAAAAGGAAAAGCGGATCGAAGCAGCGTTGGTCGAGAAAAAAATATCATAACCAAGGACTTATTCGAGGGAAAAACCATCTCCAAAAACCTACAAAATAAACAAAAATATAACCACCGAAATTCACTGGTCGACCTTGATCAAAGAAGAAAACCCCAATGCACCGTAACTTGGAGCCGCATAAACAAAAAACGAAAAGAAGCAATCGATCAAAGCTGAAGCAAGCAGATGAAAAGGAAAAAAAAGCAGAAGCGAAGCGAGTTGGATCACAAAGAATTCTTAATCGAAGCATTAAAAAAATTTTCAACCAATGGAAACAGTAACTATGAGCCTAACTCGAATGAATATAAATAAAAATTTGTTCGATGTTCAATGTCTAACATTCCGAGAAATGTCGGATCATTATATATATATGCAATTTAGCTATTTTGAGGATTTTTCCGAATCCGTAGTGGAGCATAACTGAATGCTTAACTAATCAAAAGAGATGAAGACATCAAAAGCTCTAAAATCATCGAATGATCATGAAAGCAACATGTCTAAAAAAAAAAGACAAAAGCAAGCAAAATATAAGTAATAACATAGCAAAAAAAAGCATCATAATCAACGATCGATTCGAGGAAAAAA